ATGGAAAATATCGTCAAAAGATTTATTTCGCTTATTAAAGTATAAAACCAAATGAGGGACACGTATTATTAACGATTAACAGCAGGCAAATGGTAATCCAGCGATCATTCTTTACTCAGGCTAAATTATATTCCTTTTCCATAATTCGTGATGTCTTGTGATGATTCTATAATTCGTGATTCATTTGTGATGAAAAATTATCGAGAAGGATTCTTTTAAACTATGTGAGTGCCAAAAATCGCTTACAGAGTTTTATCAGTAGTAATTATGATTTTCCTTGGCATCTGGCAATGATCCGTATTTCATTTGTTTTTCGCCATTTATAAATGAATTCGTTTTTGATGAATAAAGTACTATCGTTTTGTCGATTTTACAAAGTTATGAAATGTGATTGAATAGATAATTCGTTTTCTTAATAAAACCTCTGTTACAAAACTAGTATGAAATGTTAGTAAAAAAACCCTTTGAAATATTAAAGGAAAGGTGAGAATGCGTCGAAGATAAAACAAAATGATAAAAACTATAATGTTCCTCGCTACTTTGTCCATAATAAAATGTCGAAGAACCTTGTAAACTGAGTAACGAATTATCGCTACCCTTAGCGCTCCGTTGGCTCCGCTACGGAGCCGTCATTTGTTTCGTAACTCCGTAGGCTCCGCGGCAAAGGCCAACGTTTTTAGCATGATTAGGATTAAAATGTACGGAATCGTCGGCGTTGGCAATGTATCTTAGTTAAAACGCGCTAAGTCTGGCTAGTGTTTACAATTGAAACATTATTGCCCATTTTATGGTTAGAAACATGAAAAACTAATTATGGGATGAGAATGTAGAGTTGAGGGAGTGAAGATGGGTTTGATTTTTTTTTAGAAAGATATTGTGGAAGACAATATTATAATCTGACACTTAAGTAGTGGTCCGAAATGATACTACCAAAGAGACGACGAAGGTAGTAGTTATTGAGAGTGAAATCGAAGAGTCGCCGGAAGACTTAGATAATGGCGATGTCACGGAAGAATTAGATATTCCGGATAGAATCCATTTTAGTGTATCGCTAAAGGTCATTGACCACAAATCCTACAAATTTGGACAGCCGACACATATTTCAAATTATTTTTCAGAAACCAACTATAAATGATTTAAAGAAGACTAACAATTAAGCAGAAAAGTTCTAAGAATAAGAAAATATGTAGTAATTTGTTGGAAACGGGCGTACGGTGGAAGAGGATGAGTTTTGGGCTTTTATTGGAGTTATTATCAATATGGGTACGTTACCCCTGGCGAATATGCAGGATTATTGGTCAGTTTAGGAGAATAGTCACATCCCTTCCTTTGGTAAAATATTTACAAGAAATTGATTTATGCAGATAGTCTGGATGCTGCATTCCGCTGCGAAAATGTGCCGAAGTTACTGGTAGGCAGTGGTACAAAAACGTGCAGATCGCTAAGGGTTAAAATACCCTTTTATTCAAAGAAATGATTACAGTTGGCCCCTTCTCGGCCTTACAGGCTATCACCTCCCCGAATTATCAGCTTTTAAGGTGGCACTGGGGAGGCAGAATTTAGGAATCGTAGAGATTGCACCGGGCAGCAAAACGTCTAGGGCCGACCTGAACATTTTACTGTCCCAAATTACTTACACTCCGGTGGGGACGGTCTTGGAGATATGGGCAGCAATCATTCGCTGCTTGGTGTAGCGCCACTCGTGTCTTTTGGACCCTGTGGGCTGTCGTTGGACTTGTACAGTAGTGCGACGGAGCAATACCTGACTGAAGTTCTGGTGCTCCGTCCACTTTTCCCTGTCTCTGTCCCTACCCCAAATTACCACCGCACGGTGCAGCAGCAACAGTTTTGGGGCCGGTCCTGGGAATTTTCACCATGATCTTGGTCATGAACTCTTAGTCAAAAATCCATCAACTACCGCTCCTCAAGTTCCATGTTTACGTGATACGACACCGTGTAATTTTTTCTTTTTCTTGTTTTCTCAATTCAAATTCTGGAGCCTTTAAGATCTTTCTGGAACCAGAAACGTGAAAAATCATCAATGAAATCCTCAGGATTCGAACAACTGATCACCCGATCGCTAGCCTCACGTGCTACCAGTTACATCATGACAGCACACACAATGAAGTGTGATAATTCCTTATTAAACTGTCGCTTCTTGATAACCGTACTAAATCTTTTATTACAATTACAGAAAATTGGAATAAAGGTTGTTCTTATATTATTGGATTTTATTGATAAACTTGTAGAGACATTAGGTTATTTTAAACATAAATCATGAAAAATGAGCAATGCCCTCTTCGAGACTCGAACTTGGACTTCTCGAATACGCGCCGAGTATGCTAACCGTTACATCACGAAGGCATGCTGAAGGAGGGAGTAAATAACTTATATACTTCTCCTTTTAAAGGGCAACTGAGGATTAGAGGACCCAATCGCCAAATCTTGGTAGTGAAGAATCATCATCCACCACCTTTGTTTTTGTTTCGGATGCCACTGTAGAGTCATTAGGATTTTTTTCTTTTTTTTTTTTTTTTTTTTTTATAAACAGTGCCCTCGCCGGGACTCAAACCTGGACCTCACGAATTTGCGCCGAGTGTGCTAACCGTTACACCGGAAGGCATGCTGAAGGAAGTAGAAAATACCTTACATACTCCACCTCTTAAAGGGCGACTGGGGAGGGAACCCAATCACCAAATTCTGGTGGTGAAGAATAATCATCCACCATTTTTCAACTTTAGCGCCACTGTAGAGACGTTTGGTTATATTTTGATGCAGGAGATGTGAAAAGTGAGCAATGCCCTCTCCGGGACTCGAACCTGGGCCTCTCGAATACTCGCCGAGTGTGCTAACCTTTACACCACGAAGGCATGCTGAAGAAGGGAGTAAATACCTTATAAACTGAATAAACTATTAAACTTTCCTTGTGAGTTTTATTACATGGGCTAGGGACACTTTTAACTCAATACTTTCCGGTTGCCTCAATAATAAAACCGTTACAAGTTTAACTTTTTACTCTAAGTTTATATAACACCTAAAAGAATAAACTATGATTAGGTACAAATTATGACCCTAGCTCCTGTTGGGTAATATTTTGAATTCTGTCCAATTTTACATGCTCAAAATTCTTATATTTTATAATCATATCTATTCGATGAAAGTTTAGAATCGTACGTTATATTAGCTGAAAGTTTAGAATCGTACGTTATATTAGCATAGCGTACGTTGAATGCATTTGTCTTAAATTATGACTATAAACATAACTTAAACGGCTTCGTGGCATTTTTCCCGTAACTGTTATTCTCTGATAACATACGGTAATTTAACAATCCATAGCTTGTTAGATGATATAAAATTTTTAATAAGAATTTCCTTATCCAGACGTCAGATTAACCTTTTAACAGTTTCAGCTGGAGATGTCAAAGCGAATTTCAGAAACGCTAACTTTAAAGCAAAAATTTCAGGTTACTCTTGTCATTCCATCCAATTCCAATAACTCTAGTTATGTTTTTACTTCCTTGTACGAAGTTTAAAGGAAGTTTTGTAATCACGAAAATTAAAAAATAAAAATATCCATTTTGACCGCTATCAAATGCAATTTACGATGTTTTCGTGTGACATCTGTACGTAAGGGCAGAATAAAGGACACTTTTTCCCAAAACGGATCGCAAAAAATATTTAAAATGGATTCAGAAGAGATTTTTTTCGTGACGTCTGTGCGTACATACGTACTTATGTAACATCTCGCATAACTCAAAAACCAGTAGCCCCAGAACGTTGAATTTTTGTATATAGGACTGCTATAGCATGTAGTTGTGCACTTCCCTTTTTGGTTGCAATCGCCAAAGAGTAGTGAATAACAAAGTAAAGTAATATATATGAGTTTTTTTATTCTTGTAAGTTTATATTCTGAGTTTTTTTATTCTTTTTACCGAACTCAGTTTTTGTATTCTTATATGTTGATAAATTGTGCATTTCTGGTTTAAAAACGATTAATTATGCTGTTCTTATATTCCGGATAAGGTTTTTAAACCTTTAGTTAATCTGCATGCAGTAGTTATAGAATTATCAACAATTTAATAGATGTTTAAGTGCGACTAAGCCTAATTTTTTTACCATACCAGCCATATTTGTTTTCATTTCAAACTTAGCAGAATTTTGAATTAAGTCAGGGTGTGCACCTTCGGTATCTTTTTGCCGTTGCCGAGTGGGACCAAAAGTAAACTTTCAGTTTTGTCCACCGAAACATCTGCTTTCTTCCCCTATGGTCGCATTGCTTGTTTTTGCGTAGAAATTCTAATTTTTGTTGTATGTTTGTTTTAGTTGTAAAAGTTGTTTTCCAAATTGTTTTAACTATATTTGATGTTTCCTATTTTTCTATATTTAGCAATTTTTAATAAAGCTATTTTGAGGTTTTATGTATTTTTGCCTTGTCGCGAAGTGTGAACTGAATTAATTGAATGATAAATGTATCAGTAATGGAATTCGAGGAAATAAAGGCCCACCAGCGGCCGAGCGTTAAAGTCTCTAAACACTGGTATTTCGGTCCGAGGTTTGAATTCCGCGAACGGGCTGGCTGCATGGATGTTTTCATGGTTTCCCCCATGTGTAACGTGTATAATAGCCAGTTTCCCTTAGAAAGTCCTCCACGAAGGCATTCCTTCCCTTAGACAGATAGGCCTAGTGTGCTTTGCCATAATTAAATACACCACCACCACACCGAGGAAATAAGTTTAAATGAAATGCAGAAAAAAAAAATGTGTATAATCTAATATTCCGTACATGGAAGTCACGGGGTGTACACATCATATTTTTCATTTAAAGAGGAGTAATACTTTTTCTCCCCTTCAAATAATGATTCGCAGGTATCTTGTATTGATGTTTTGTAGTGTATGCTCTAAAAGAAAATATATCGTTACCATTTTCTTAAGATTTCTGTAGTGAATTTTAAATAATTTCTCGATTTCACGAATATGAGCAATGCAAAAACATTTTTCCAGATGGCGCCTACTTTTAGAAGATCGTCGCTGTTCACGTTTGGGAGAAGCAACATCCCCTCACGAATGGACATGCAGACCAGCGTCTTCTCCAGAAGATGGACCACAAAGAGCCCTTCTAGGATCTCGAGGCCGAAATCCACGTATAACTCGTCGAACTGAGGTTGTGGTTGATGAGAGAAGCCGCAGAATGGGTGTAAAGTCAGCCGCATATCCCTCGACTCGACCAGCTCCTCCATCACGTGTAGCTGTAGATGTCCATGCACCAGAAGTAGTCGTCTTGGATGTAAGTGTATTAATGCATCTTAGTTTATTTTTTAACCTTTTTTGAGAAGCAAAGTAAGCCGAGATAAGTTTTACTAGCTATATGTAAGCATTGCATTTAACACTTTGAAGACCAAAACGCCCCAGACGGCCTTTCATTCAAACGACCACAACCGCCCGAAACGTCCGAAATTCCGATGTTGTTTTCTTCCTCTCTTTAAGGTATGCAGTAGCAGGTGTAGTTTCCGCAAATGCATTGTATGAGTTTATTGCAGACAGCTTGTCCTAAAAGTATTTATTTGTGGTTTCTTTTCTTTATTTGTAAGAAGTCGAATCGCTCTTCTTTGTGCTGAACGTTCGGTCCGAGGTTCGAATCCTGCGAACGGGCTGGCTGCATGGGCATTTTCGTGGTTTCCCCCATGTGTAACGTGTATACGAGCCACTTTAGCTTAGAAAGTCCTCCACGAAGGCATCCCTCACTTAACTCTTTGCGGCACAGTGTATCCGGTCTGGACACACCTGAAAATTTCCTTCTGTACGCACAGAAAAATTGAATGAAAAATGATTCAGGTTACTAGTATATTACTCTGAACCTTCTTTATTTGTAGTAGATGGCAGCTCAACACAAACCAGTCCATGTATTTTAGCCATGTTTAGTTTTTTAAAACTCTCTCATTTTTCAAGGAAATCTTCCAGATTTTTTTTAGGGTATAAAAAGAATTGTTTGAAAAGAAATTTCTGCGTTATTTTTTTTTTATATGTATGCTAATCTCCTTATTCTATATTAGTTTTAAATTTTTACCTTGAAATCTTGCCTAAAATCAAACGGACCGTGCTCACCGATAATCTGGGACAACTGAGAGTCTGTATTCCTTGTTTCTCCGCATCTCATCGGTCAGTTCATTGACAACAATGCTCGTTTCAGCGCTCTTTTCAATCAGTGTGCCACTTTGGACACACCGACAGAATTAAGTGCTATCTTCACAAAATTTTACTTGTATACTCCTCTAGGCCTAATTAGACTGCCTACATTTTTTTTTTTTTAATTAAAACTCTGACTTTAAAAGGTAGTGTGCCAGAAAGGGTTAAGGCAGATAGCCTCGAGTGCTCTGCCGTAATCTAATAAACCAAAAAAAAAAAAAAAAAAACTTTGTGCTCTAATAGATGGGGTGGGGAGGAAATTGCTGTGACCATCGAAAACCATTTCGGGCGGTGTGTTTGTTGCTGTTTAGATCTATTCATAGTTTTAAAATTTTTGAACACGTTTATAAGGTATGTAATATTACATAAAATTGTTATTACACATTTGCCTGTCATATTTGTTTCGTTAATAACATTTTTTCAAAAATTGAAAAAAAAGTTAAGTTTTTTTTTAGTATTTTTCCTATTTTATTTGATATCAATTCTAATGTATTTTTTACTTAAAATTAAATATTTAAAATATTTAAAAATGAAAATTCATGATAAAACTTAACGACTAACTGTCTAAGAGAAGGTGTTTTTTGAGCACATTTTAAGAACAACCACTGAAGACCCGTGCAGCCTGTTCATTCCCCGGGGTCTGAACTCCGGTCGAACAACAAATGTGAACATTGACCGGAGGTTCACATTTGTTGTTCGACTCGAGTTCTTGTCTACTGATGAGCGGTTCTGTCGTCTGCTACTGACGGTCTTGTCTGCCGATGGGCATTAACTGACTAGCTCGGATTTCCCCCCGCCGTGAATATCTTACGCGAATGTGAAATATTTCGGGTTAGAGATATCCACCCCGATAGTCTTCCACCTAAAAGCATATAATGCCCCTAGACTTTTGCTGTTGTAAGTTAGTTATTCACGAGTTTTAATAGTAGGTACACCTTGCCCCCCCCCAAAAAGGCACAGTTCTATATCTCCCAGGCTCACCAGCGGCCGAGCGGTAAAGTTAAGGAGGTCGCCGAATGATAATAAAATTTTAAAAGATTTTTTTTTTCATCAGTCCTTCTGTTGAACGTTTCTGGATATCTTAATCGTTTAACAAAAATGTTTTCCTTTTTAAGTTCGCCCACCAGCGGTCGAGCGGTAAGTCGCTGAACACTGGTAGTTCGGTCCGAGTTTAGAATCCCGGGAACGGGCTGGCTGCATGGGTTTTTCGTGGTTTTCCCCATGTGTAACGTGTATACGAGCCAGTTTCCCTTAGAAAGTCCTCCACGAAGGCATCCCTCCCCTTAGGCAGATAGCCCTCGAAGCTTTGCCATAATCAAACACACACACCATATCTCCCGTTCTGCTGGACCCGATTGTCGAAATTTAACTTGCGTTTTCCATGCCTCGAAAACACGACTAAGGATATATATATATATATATCGTTGTTCTAACATAGGTATTTTGACACAAAATTGGATTTTCATATTGGCGCTTTTGAAATTCGGCATATTTTTATAAGCGATAATAAAACCAAATGTGGTTTACGCACTTATTAAAAGTATTTCAAAGTACGAACCATGACCTTTTTTCCGCTCGTGCGCAAGGAAAATAGTTTGCTATAAATTAAGAAGTTCGCCATTATTCTTGGCGCAGACTAAAAAAAGGCGCAATATCTAGGCATAATTTGAGTCGTAGAATCGAAATATGGAAAAAAACTGGTATGTCATTTCACAAAGAGTCCGGTTATGTGTCAAAATACTTATGTTAGAACACTTCTGTTTATAAATCTAATGTATATCCTAAGTCGTGCTTTCCAACATGGAAAACGCAAGTTAAATTTCGACAATTTGTCTAGTACAACGGGAGATAGAGAACTGTCCTCCCCCCCCCCTTTTTTTTTTCTTTGTGTGTGTGTGCAAGGTATACTTTGATTTTGTGTGTGAAACTAACCGCAACTCGTTACTGTACTGAGCATTTTAATGAGAGGATTTGAACTATTCAACGCATTTATGAAATTTGAATAATCAACGCTATGTATAAATGGAATCAAATGAATCACGAATTCTGTAGCTCTAGAATTGGATCTCTTAAATAAATTTCAAAAGGTGTGGAATCGCTTTTAAAAGAAAAAGACGCTATAAGTTATAAATTTAGCTCACTCATTTAGTTCAAGGTCAGAATGAAGCTTAACCTTGTTTAAAAAGAAAAATTTGCTACGTGGGCAAGTGTTTTACGGCATTTCTAACCTTCTCTCTAAACGTAACAACCTGGTATAAATTTTTACTGAAAAAGAAATCATTGGAAAAGTTTAATTAATTTTTTAACAGTTAGTCGACATTTTGATATCTGCAGCAACATTTATAAAATGAATTTAGCTGAAAAAATCCGTATTTATTTGTTTTCCTTTGCTTCACTTTCTTAGTATTCTAGTGCTTTAGTTTCTTAGCATTCCAAGCTGACTTTCATCATTTGCTTTCTGTTTGTAGTCTGTCATTTTTACTTTCTTGCACAATGTAAATAAAGTATTTTAATCGCGAAAAATTTCGGGTAGCATAGTTCAACGAAAATATCCATTTTTACCGCTTTCGAGTGCAATTTATCGATGTTTCTGCGTGACATCTGTAAGTAAGGACAGAATAAAAAACGCTTAATTATAAAAGTGAGTTCAGAAGAGAGTTTTTCATGGCGTCTGTACATACGTACGTATGCATATATCTCGTATAACTCAAAAACGAGTAGCCGCACTACGTTAGAATTTTGTAGATAGGACTGCTATAACATGTAGTTGTGCACCTCCCCCTTTGGGTGCAATCGTCCGAGCCAAAAGCATATAAATATCTATATATATATATATACCCACTCTGTTACTCAGCTCTCTGAGCTCATTTTTTTTATTCTTGTTTTTGGTAAATTGTGTATTTTTTGCTTTCAAAATAATTTAATTATGTCGTTATCTTCGGGTTAAGGCCTTTATGCCTTTAGTTATTCTGCATGCAATAGTTTTAGAATTATCAACAATTTAAATGTTGTTTAAGTGTGGCTAAGCACAATTTTTTACCATGGCAGCCATATTTGTTTACATTTGAACAGAATAGTAAATTAAATCTTTCTGCAACTTCAGTGCCTTTTTGCCAAGTGGGACCAAAAGGAAACTTTTAGTTTTGTGCATCGAAAAATCTGCCTTTCTTGCCTGCTGGCCGAATTGCTTGTTTTTGTGCAGAAACTGTAATTTTAATTGTAATTTTTTCTAATTGTTTTAACTGCATTTAGTGTTTTATTTAGTCTATATCTTTCAATTTTTAATGAAAATATTTTGAGTTCTTATGTACTTTTGCCTTGCCACGAAGTGAGAACTGAATTAGTTGACTGAGAAATATATATCTAATGAAATTCTAGGAAATAAGTTTAAATGAAATGCAGGAAAAAGTACGAAAAATTTAATATTCCATACAGAGAAGTCATGTGGTTTGCACATCAGCTTTTTAATTTTAGTTTTTACGGACTATTATGTTTTTGCGTTATTCGTTCTGAGTTGTTTCAAGAATTACCTCATTTTCCAGTGATAGACACTAGTTTTTCTATCGTTTCTTTCAATAAAAGACATTTTGATGCGTCCACAAAGTCATTGATTTTGTACCTTCAGGGAATTGAAAGTGTTTGCTTTTCAATAAACTGCAGCTGGAAATAAATTTTAAATATAAAATTGTGTAAATTTGTTTCTTTACTTGTTTTTCAGGACACCGAGCCACCTCCTCCGTATGAAGCAATCGGCTGTTGAAAGACATAGTTACTATATGTACGAACTGCCTTACTCTGCATTTTTCAACTCTTAGAAAAAAGTATGAAAGTCTGATTTTATAAACTACTTGTTTCTAGGTCAACAAACATTCTGAGAATCACACTGGACTTGTTATACTTGTTACACTTGGACGCAACATTATTTCAGTTCCTTTATGTGTGTGACTTCGGCGTCCAAAAAGTTTGCAAATACAGTAATGTATGAGGATGTAGACTGAAAATAAAGAGCCAAAATCATACGATTCATTGCTGTGCCTTTAAATGCACTGTACAATATTTATTTGTGCATTTACGTACAGATCATTGCTGATAAATTTTTAACATTTGAGGCAAATCTATAAATCATGCCTCGGAAATATTTTTGTTACCTTCTTATTAATATTTAATTAATTAAAATTCAATATGTGCCTTCTCTCGTTTTTTTATTCGAGACAATTGCTTCACCCTCAGCATGACTTAGATTCCATGTTTTGTGTTTGTACAAATAGTCAGTTGGAAGCCAACAGTATAAGCGCTTTTATTTTATGTCTTGGACCAGAAATCTATATTCCAATGGAAACTTACTTCATGTAAAGAGTGTAAATTATATTACATTAACTCATAGAGAAAAACACTTTTATAATTGTAACTTTAAAGAAAGAAAAGAAAAAGAAATAGTGAACTCGAATTGTGGCAACTTGAAAGAGTAGTTGTGAATAATAAAAAAAAAAAAAAAAAAAAAACACCTGAATTATTTTTAATGTACTGCGTTTTTTGTATGATGCATAATAAAGATTCTAAAAATTGTGTTTGTCTCTTTCTTAATAGAATTCAGCAAGATATAAATGATGAAAAACGTGAACACAGAAATAGTTTAAACCAGCAATTCTCAACCGGTGGTACGTAAAGAAACAAAGTATCTTTAACTATTAAATTCAAAGATCTCGTGAAGAAAAAGAACAATATTTAGAAATTTCCTGTGATCGAAATCTAACTGAAGATTTCAAAAATGACCGAACTTGTTAACTTTCGGCCGAACCGAAAAAAAGAATTTAAAGGCATTTGAAATAGAGCTATTAAATTTTCATTGCCTTTTTGCACAACCTATTTCTGTGAACAAAGATTTTCTTCCATGTTATATTTGAAAAATCAGTGCAGAACAACATTAAAATTGGATTCTAATTTACGATCAGAACTAAGTGAAATAAGACCAGGCATAAAGAAATTGATCTCTCTTAAACGGGCCCAAATTTCACACTAAAATTTAGAATTAAAATATAATAACTTAAATTTTGATAATTAAAATGGTAATCAATTTTTTATCTAATATTTTTTATGTGTGAATATTTAATACAAACAGCCAATTGGTTGTGCAAATGGCAAAATGTATATTTTTTAATATTTCTATTAAGGAACTGAAATATAATCATTGTAAAATATAGTGCTAATAAAGGTTTTCAGTTTTTGTTTAGATGATACGATTTAGCCAAAAGGTTGAGAACCGCTGGTTTAAACTCTCATACCATTCCTACGTTACATCATATTCTCCTTACTTATTGCTGAATATTTGTTATATTACTCGCAGCTATATAGACTGTCATCAAATGTAATTAAATTTTGAGCATATAGTACATGTTGAAAATGTGCTTGACCAGGTTAAATATCTAAAGCACAAACAGCAATAGGCCAAGCCATCATGGTCACAGTTCCGAGTGTCATGTTTAAGTAAAAAAGTACCAAAAGTTAGTAAATGATTCTGGCATGAGAACAGTCCCACCATAAGAAGAAGTCCTTTATTGCAATCTTAACTCACACCCGTATCGTTACAAGGATATCAGATTATGACAAAAAAACCTTGACAGACAATGGTTCTCTCCATCATGATTGAATATAAGTATGAATCAACTTACCGTTTGAGGACTATTAAACGAATAGCGACTACACTGATTCCAATTTCAGAGAACTTGATTTTGAAAGCGGAATGTTTTCATCTGCGCATGAGATACTGTCGAAAGGTTTTTGCAATATAATGCAGTGTGGCCGGACTTAAAAGTTTATGTATCATTTACAGATTAGGCGAATTTACACATGAAGGTGCTTTCGATGAAAAGAGTTGTCATGTGTGGGCAATCTCAAGCCCATACATTACACATCCACATGCATTCCAAGAGCAGTTCTCCATGAATATTTGAGTGAACATTTCCTAATTGATCCATAACATTCAACCATAGGACTCGGTGGCAGATCCTATTGCATTTTTCTGGAAAATCTTTTATCAGAATTGCTTCAAGATGTTTAGCGACTGTCGTTCATAATCACTTGTTACTTCAGCATAATGGGGTTTTAGTCCATTTGAGCACGGATATGAGCAAATGGATTCTAGTCTTGGGAAGTGATGGATTTGCCATGGTGAACCAGTTCATTGGCCACTCTGTCTTATTTATTGAGTCTGGATTTCTTCTTATGGGAATAGCTGAAGGCCTTCATTTATGAAAATTCAGTTGATTCTATTGAGGATATCATCTCTGAGATAGGCTGAATAACAGAAGGCTCGGTTATAGGCTGAATTGCGGTTGTACGTATGTGAGAAATAACTAATGTCTTACCAAGCAACACCATTCACGACGTTGACGCATTTATGTTTCATCTCATATCTTATTTTTTAACTACTTATGCGTGTGCCTCAAGTCCTCACCTGCCCCCATATGTCCCCTACGCAAAAAAACTATTCACTGTAGTGTGCATGAGTTCTGAATCATCCTATATACTTCTTTCGTCATCTATTAACTCTGTTAATGATGAGCTAGATTTCGATTCTTTTCGTTTAAAAAGTTAATCGTTAATCAGTTTCATTATTAAAGCATCTGATAGCCATTCTTTCAGTTCCCTTTATTCACATTCCCTTGAGAGCGTCGTTTGTTGATCTGAAAAAAGTAGCAGCCTATTAATTTATGCCGAGGCATGTACTACAGATATGTTTTTCATTCTAGTGTTGTAATGTATTGTTCTTGCTGTTTTCCAGCTCGAAGGATTCAAGACCCTTAAGTCTTTTCGTTTTTTGTTATCGCTTAAACTGTTGAGTTTTCCAAACTGTTAACTAGAATATCCTTCAAAAGGCCAATCACTACTACCAGTACTTCTTAAACACAGGCCTGTCTACTGGAAGCTGGAAGTTTAATGACATCACAAACCGTTGGCTATCTCTTTGGATCTCCAACTAGATAGCCCCATCGGATGGCTAGAAAGTTCGAGGAATTTCGTCCTTGGTCTTAAAAGGATGCGTTAGTGAACTACAGCGTCGTTTTAGTAGGCTGAGTGCGTGTGTGTTTAATTTAATTTTTTTTTTTTTTTTTTTTTTTTTTTTTTTTTTTTTTCCCGGGTTGCATTAAGCCTGTGAAGTATTCTGTGCCGCTATGTCGAGAAAAGTTTGATAATGGTCCTGAAGTATCACTGTAAAAAGTTTCTAAGCAGCCGGATTTAATGCAAAAATGGTTAAAATTCACACTGCGAGAAAATTTTACTGCTTCGAAGTATTCTAGAGTAAATTAAGTCTAATTTGAAATTAAAATTTATTAACGTATTTGTTTTTCTGCAGAAAATCACCAAATGTCGCCAAGGCCCATCAGGAACGAATTCTCGCGTCCTTCTTCAGCTAAATTTTTAATTCAAATGTTATTGCACCCAGAATTCAAAGATCTACAATTCCGTATAAGAAACATTACATTTTATACATTGCGCTTCAAACTAACAACAGGTGGCCACAAATTTGATTAAACATAAAATAAACCCAAAAACTATTATCCTAATAGCAACAAATAAATAAAAAATAAGTTAGCAAAATAATACACAGTACTAGAAAAAAATATAGAGAAGCAACAATGCAGTTAAAAAGAATTTAAATAATTACAATAATATTACTTTTTCTTACCTTATTCCTATGTTCAGTTTAAGTGAATTAGGCTCTTGTTGGCATTACCTATCGGTTTAACTAGAATTCTCGCGTGCATGGCTATAAAAAGAGTAACTAATAATCGTTTTGAGCAGAGCTTAAATTGCGCCGGACCCCGGCTCCGGTACTTCCTAGTTTTAGGGATATATTCTAATTCTAGCCGGACCACACCGGAGCTCTAAATAAGAAGGCTCCGGCACTTTTTTATGTAACGGAACAATAATTTTAGTAGAAATTTGTTCTAGAAAATTTCATTTTTAGCAATAAAATTATATAAAAAATCGCTTATTAAATTTTAATTTATCTCTTTACATTTTATTTAATTTTAATTATTTAATTACTTTAATCTTTAATTATTTTAATAAATAATAATAAATTGTGAATTAATTAAACAATAATTACAAGTTAAATAATAATTAATAAATATTAATATCAATTAAATAATTATTAATTAATTTGATACTCCTTAACTATTTAATTTTTTAAATTATTAATGATTTTAATAGTCATTTTGTTTATTGATTTACTCTTGTTCCTCTTTCGTGATGGTCCTTCATAGGGCTCCGACGCTTCTACTTTTAGAAATTAAGCCTTGGTTTTGAGACTAATAACCCAGAAGGGCTATTAGTCTCAAAACGGCATTTTGCGTCAAATCATTTTAAATGTCCAAATCTTTTTTCAAATTGTTGCCACCAAATATTATCGCTCTGTATTATATTTAAAGAAATTAAATAATGAAGAATCTGCATGAATATATGTATGTATTCTCGCATGGTGAAAATTAACGGTATCTGGAGTCATCAAACTTTGAATAACAACAAATATTTTATTATTTAAAATAGTCTTCCATCCGAACACAGGCACCTGGAAGCCAGAATTTGGAATTTGTTTTATTGTCTATTTCATATTTATTAAAATTTTAACGAATTTTTTATTTAAAAAAACTCAACAGAAACTTCAGATTTTATTTTTTCGCCGTTCTTTGCTGCTGCATATTTCTGTATATCTATGTGAAGATTTATTAAATAATACATTTTCTTTTCTATACACGTGTGCATGAGAAAAAAGGGAATGGTTATATCTTCAAAAATTGCTGAAATTACATTTCAGACTAACGCTAAAACTATTACTTCTTCGGAAAACAGAAAAAAAAAAAAAAAAAAAAAAATTATAATAATGAAAGAATTAAAAATGAAATAAAAAAGAGAAAGTAAAATTAAATTAAACGAACAGCCTGTGCTGCCATCTGCTGGAGTGATCAGGCTTTAGAAACTTTTCAATTGTATTTTTCGTTCAGAGTTCTCAATAAACGAGTAACACTCAAAATTGAAATACCTTTCAGAATAATAAATTCTTTTGCTAAACCGACAGTAATGGAACATAAATGAGTCGGATGATGAGCAAATGTCTAAAACGTGGCAATTTATTTATTTTTATTTATTTATTTACTTTTATTTTATTTATTTTTGTTCTTGTTGTTTGTTTGTTTGTTTTGCATGGATGAACAAAAAGGAGGTCCAGAAGTAATCACATATATCCATTGCCGGCTCCTATCACTGAGTAAAAAACTTGCCTCAATTACGCTTGCGCTGTGACAATTTTTTTCCTGAGTCATAAATCATTTACGTGAAAAGAACTCTATTATAAATTACAGTCGCTATACTCATTAGTGATGACTTTTGAAATTAAGGGTTAAATACAATATTTATTGTGCATTAATAAAAGTAAATTATAAACGCTACATAGATAACCTAATGTTGCAAAAAATAACAAAACTTTATAATAATAATAAAAATTTAATTTGGAACGTTTTATGTCTTGCCAATTTCTCAACAGTGCATCTACAATCCAATAACTG